TAAAAATAAAAATAATAAATATAAACGAGTTCCGGGAGAATTCAATCTCTCACTAAATTCTCTTTCTCACCCAAGATTATTATAACACTGTTATCAGAAATCCTACTCACCGACATGCAAATTTCTACTTATTCTGCGTAGTTAACACGTAATAGCCCCAAACACAACAGGCGCGTGATCTATTGGTTACTTATTAAATCTCCCTAAGGAAACAAAAATTTTAATTTCACTTGACATTCATCTTTGCCCGTTTCATACCTACCAGTGGGCTATACTATACTTTTCTTCTCTACAGTACTCCACATTACATCCTAGCCCACACAAAGAGATGGGCACCATACAGGCTCAATATAGGATGACATATGGGCACCATCTGGTGTTGCCAGTCTGCTCCAAGTGGTTGTTTTATATGGGCGATTGAAAGAGCCCATTTATGTACTTCCATGTCCAGCCCGTGTCCAGCCCGTGTCCAGCCCATGACAAGCCCAGATGTAGCCCATATCACTAGTCTACAGCAATAAGTTTGTGACTCCAAAATCATCAATTTGAGAAATCTCACTTTAAAGTTTCAGATCGAGCTGGGGAATCAGGTTTTCCACCAAACCGTCTTACTATCGATTCATCATGACAAGATTAAGTATTTATAACGCTACCCTTTGTGTAATGATGATATTCCTGTGTAAAAGGGGTGTTTTAGACAGATTTAGGGAATATTCAACAATTTTGCGGAAAGCCAGTTGGAGATACAACAATTTTGCACCTCAACTGTCTAGTTCTCTTGATGTTTTTGTTGGGAGATTTTTGGAATTATCTGGCATTTAGCAGAGCTCTGTTAAAGACATTTATCAAATAGTTCAATAATAATCTGAGAACATAGTTACATGGAACACAGAGTGCAGCTTATTTAACTTACGACAATTTTGCACTCAACACATAATAATTGCATAGGGCGGATGCAACGGAGATACAACAATTTGGCTCTGCAAGCTGTCACCATTAAACTACTTAAAACATGAAAAAGAAGACACAACACAAAGTGATGAAAGAGGCAAAAATGCTTGAATAATGATTTCTTTATTGCAATATAAATTGAACATATTAAGGTACTCAAAAGGACTGTTTGGCAAGCAGGGTCGCCACCTCGTAAGCCATCATCCATCCATCCATATCTTCACAATCATCCATCCATCCATATCTTCACAATCATCTATCCAGTATAGCCTCCTCTTATACAGATTTTACAAAAATTCAAAATTAACATTTTCTCAATTTCATCTAAAACAAAATTATTATTATTATATAAAGAAAGACATGACGAGTGATTTTACAAACATTCAAAATTAACATTTTCTAAATTCCATCTTAAACAAAATTATTATTATCATATAAAGAAAGACATGACGAGTGATCTAGATTTATAAGAGGAGGCTATACTGGATAGATGATTGTGAAGATACGGATGGATGGATGATGGCGTACAAGGTGGCGACCCTGCTTGCTAAACAGAATAAGAATAAGAAGAGGAAGTAGAGGAATAGAAATAATAATACAGTATAAAAATATATAATAAACTCCATTTCACTCTTATGAGAATGCCAGAGTGATCAAAATTTAACTATTCAATTTGAAAATAAACGGGTGAAGCAGTATATTTTATTGCATGATGTTGCTGACATGATGATTTTGGTTTTAAATATGTTTTTTTTAAAAAAAATAATAGCCTTGATTCATCCTACAATTACATCATCATAAAAAGCAAAGATAGAAAATAAACTGTCTTATCAAAAAAGTTTACAATTCAGATACATTAAGCAATGTAAAAATAATCAAATATAAACCGACATGTCATTGTGAACAATGCTACACACCCACACCTGCACGCTGTATACTCATTGTTTCACATTCGCCCACACAGTCAAACTCTCAAGCATTGACGCATAATAATTAAGACATTTTAATTTACCCGCAGAAAGTACATCAATTTAACAAATAAAATGATATAATTTTATGTGAAAAGGAACATAAATAAGAGCACCACCTTAATATAAAAGTTTACTATTTTACATAATGTGAACGTAACAAAAAGCTCATTGAGGGCATTTGTTAGTAAGGTTTGATCTTTACTTCACTACATGGCATGCATTGCGTAGCAATAGTTGATCATCATTATAAAGAATGATAGTATTTGATAGAATGCCTTTCAATCTTCAAGCAAAAAATCTGTCAGCTTGACAAGATCTGGCATTTTTTTTTTTTTGTCATCAATCCCAAAAGGACGATTGTATGCCTTTGATATTTCAGCCTGTGGAAAGCATGTTGGTTTTTACCCCCGCCAATTTCCACTACAAAATGAATAGAAACACCATCTTCACCCTTTTCGTAAATGATAGGATGAATTTTCTGGATTCCATAGAACGCAGTCTTAGTCATAAATGCCCCATTCAACGAATTGAAATCCAGTAAATCTTCATAATGAGTCATGAAATTAACAAGATAAGGCAGCATGCGTTGAGCCTTCTTCATGTGTTTATGAAAGCCAGAAGGTTTAACAAGGGTCTTGCTGTACTTTTTCTGAATGAAAGAGTGCATGCTATCACTTATTACACTCATAGTGACCTGTTAAAAAAAACTGTTGTTCAATTTTCAACATTGATGAAGAATTTGACAGGAGTTTAGACAATGATGTGATCACGAGGCGATTTCTGTTTTGACCACCACAACAATCACTGTAAAATACAACATGTTTTGCACCTTCATTATCTCTCAATTCCAACCCTTTCCATACACAACTGGCAATATCATGTGTACCTCTGTTAAACTCACTTTCATTCCATGCAGAACAGGTACCTTGAAGAGTCCTTAGATTCAATGAAATTTTATACATTTAATTTTTTAAAGTAATACGAGGTGGAAACAGCAAGTTTAGGACAAGTAATAACCTACACTTATCATCTCTTCATTGTTTTTATCGAGTTCTTTGCAATTCCTCGCTTGCATTTTCCTACGGAGATGGGATTCGTGATCTGCAATTTCTTCAGGGGTGAGGGTTTGTTTAAGCTGGTATTTGGTACAGGTATCACATGTGTCCTTACTGGGTACATGGAATGATAGATTAAAACCTTCATTAAAAACTTGCCTGTACTTATACTCCGACACAACGCCTAGACGCTTTTCTAACTGACATGCTTTGTAAAGCCTGTACATGAGTCTGGTGTTCAGAGAGGCATCAAGGTACAACCGTTTTGAATCTGCCCTGCAGCAGTGACTGTCTACTTTTGGGAAGGACTCAATGTGTTCTCTTACTTTCTGCAACTTTTCTTCGTTAATCACATTATATGCAGGTGGATGCGGTCTTGGTTCAACGATGTTGTGCGTAGCCAGCTTCATGTTATAAAAGACCATGATGTCAGACACGTCTAACGTGTTCAAAAACATGGTCTTGCATACTGTTACACAGGAGCCATTTGCGTGAGGAAGTGTGTATGAAAGGGTTCGATTTTGAATTTTATTGGCATTTTTCCTCGTGACCGACTTTTTTTCACGCGCGTGAATATGAGCTATAATAAAATCCCTTTGCCCGTTTTTACTGGCCATTCCTCGGAAAGCTTTAAATAGAATTTCTTAAGTCTTCAGACAAAAGATTTGAACATTTTCTCCGGCATTCCGTTGTGCAAGGAGGCTTCAAAGCTCTCACCCCCTCCTCACCTCCATATTTCTTGGATACGCCACTGTTGTGTCTTGCTGACTTAATGTTTCTCTTCCAACAATCAACATTTCTTTTCCTTTTCCTTGAGAGCACTTCTGTCGGAGTCTGCACTTGTGCCTCATCAGGAAACTTCAACATAGATGGTGGAGGTGCTAGAGGCAAGGGAAGATGTTGGCACAGGTTGTCCACGGTACCTGGAGAAGGAGATGGGAGCAAGGGCAGATCAAAGTCAAAATCATTCATTGAGATTGACAGAGGAGGGAGAGTTTGTGGTGGCTCATCCATCGATTGGTACGTGTCTGATAAAGAACAGAAAATAAAAACCTGCTTAATTTCTGACAAATAGAATTTAATTATAGCAGATTATCCTTGGTCTATTTAACGGTAGAAACACAACACGAATTGATAATAATTATCACAGGCAGACAATGAATAAAAGATTGACATCATTCTATTATGCTTACTTTCATATAATCACAACTCTTCTACCTCGTACCGAAATGTCAGTTATAGATGAAAAGTGCCTTGCTTGTGATTTGCCTTTAAAGTTGTTAAATAAGCTGTCTGAATTTTATTGTAGGGTAAGAAGACTTTAGGTGCAAGTTCAAAATGTTAATGCTGTCTTCCTGGATTATTCTGACACGATTTTCTAATTGATTTTATTTTCCATCAATATCATAGCATGCACCGTTTCATTTTAAATAATTTATATAGGCCATAACATTCCTGGACTCTTTCCGTGTGCAGAGGTTGATTAAAACAATACTAGTCTACCTCAGGCTATGGGATAAGGGATAAAGATTCTCTGGCAGATTAATAATGATTTTTAATCGCTAATTGTTTGCGGCAAGGGGGTATCATACCAGTTGTTGATCCACTGGGATCGGACTCATCGATTTATTGACTGCATGGCGTTGATGTTTGTTCCATCCCATTACTGTGATAAGAAGGTTTTGATCCTGCTGTTTCAAAAGAAGTTAGTCCAGGTGAGTCATCTCGGGGAGATAATTAGATAAATAATTATAAGATATCCATTAGATAAATGTAATGGATTCATACAAGAGCAAACAGGAAATAATTTATTAAGTAAAAACATTTTTTAATTTACATGGTGTAAAAAACTAAATTGTCTCAATTTTTGGAATTATGCCCCTCCAGCCTGCAATTATACAATGGATACCCTATTCTATCTAACTACTATAATTATACCGTTTCCATAGTGCTATCTTTCCAACCGAGGCACACAATCCATGTAAATAATTTTTGAATTGGGTAAAAAGCAAACATACTGATTGGTGTTTGGTATTGACTTGGTGTCCTTTCGACAGCTGGGGTGTGCAGGAGAGGTAGCCGAGGTAAAGGAGGTGCTTACGTTGTTATAGGCAGATTTTCGTCAACTTCACTGTCACTGTCTGGAGACCTATGGATTAATAGCAAACATAAAATGAGCTTGCTTCAAACATTTTACTTAAAATTGTCTTCCTATCAAGGTGGGAAAAGTATTGACCCTATATGTATAATTTTACCTCATGCTAAATTTTTCAATAGTTTCCAGAAGAAATACAAGTTACATAACTTAGGGGTAGGGTGGAGGCTGCAGGTTCCAAAAGGTCGACATCAAAAGTACTATTCTATGCTGATATTCTGATACCTCTACCAGCTGAAAGCTGTAACGGGGATGATTGTGTGAGTGTGTATGGTTTGGGGGCGAGGCAAAATGTTGACGACACTTCTATCAGCTGCAAGTTGTATTCTTTCGGGGAGGGGGGATATGCAGCCTAAATGTTGATATTTCTACATGCTGCAAGTTGTATTCTTTCGGGGAGGGGGGATATGCAGCATAAATGCTGATATTTCTACATGATTCAAGTTGTATACTTAAAAGAAAACCCATCAGACTCTTTATGGACAAATGCACTGAAGCGTACCGACTGAAACTGAAACCGACTCCTACTTTTTGCACGCACATCTTGTCTGACAAACAAAAAAAAACCCCACCTTTCAATTTACACGAACAACACTTTCAGTGCTACTGACAAATCGAAATTCAAATATATTATAAATTTGCCAAACTATGCTTTCTGTGAAAATCAATTTTTATTTTCCTCTCTGATGTACCATTATTACCGGCTATCCAAGACAACAAAGTTGTTACATGTTTTTCCGAGGCTTGTTTTCCCATGAGTTTTCGACTGCCGTGAATTTGAACAGTAGTGCAGACGTAGTCAGCTGTAGGTCCTTCAACCCACAGTACAACAGACTGCAACATAAATGTATTCAAGAACAACATAGAACGCCTGGACCTTCAGGGAGCTTTTATTTCACATCATTTTCTTCCACACATTTCAACAGGGGCTGTCGACTGTAGATTCTTTAACCCATAGTGCAACAAGCAATATGATATGTACATGGAAGTATGAATGGACCCTTTGGGTAGCCCATAGTCACGTGTGATACAGGGGCGTTTTTTGGTTGGGTTCTTTTTTCAGCTTCTGACAGGTTTTAAAAAAATACCAAGCACAAGTATGTGGGAAAATCAAAGGCCAAGGAAATGGACAGATGAGTCTTGAAAAAGCCTGTAACAGTTTGAAAATATTTGCTAAGAACAAAAAAAATTGCAAGAGATTTACTGAAAACTATGCCCTCAAAATTTGGAAAAAGCACTCCAGTCACTTTTAAAAATAAGGAGTTTTGGGTTTTTTAAAACTGAAAATATATCAACAAAGACTTGGCAGAAAGTAGGTGTAGATTCCGTAAATTTTCACATAAACACACACACACACACACACACACACACACACACACACACACACACACACACACACGCACGTACGCATAAACAACAAACTGTCAGAATTCAGTTGCATTTCATCTGTCTACTTCTAATAATGCACGGCATCTTCTCGACAACTCACGAGGAATGTAAGACTGAAAAGATAGCAAATTTTCAGAAATCCAATTTATAGAGTGCGAATTTGACTTCCGTTCATCTAATACGACAAATCTTTCATTTTCATTTTGAGATCTGAGTACTGTCAGAACTCTTAGACCCACATAAACAGAAGCTTAGTCAAGTAGTGTACGGCTGTACACCAACGCATAAAGTTTAGAACCAAAGCCAGACGATGTGATAGTTTTTAGCACAGTCTTTACTTGTGTCTAAGGATAATAATTGAATGTAAGTGGGGTGTGCTGACAATATGAGTTTGTCTTCAGTCCGCAAATGGAGATATCCGCAAAAAATCGGCACAAGGTTATAAATATCAGATTTGTAGATTATCAACTGATACCATTTTCTTCAAGTTAATCTAGTCTTTTGAGTTTTGTAATTTTACACTTTTATACTTTACAAATTGTACAAACTCAACTTATCAATTTTGCAATAACTTTGTTCAAAGTGCTAAAATTACAAATCTGAGAAGTGACTCATTTCGTCAGCATGCCTAACAATTACCATATGAAATAATGGATCAAGATATAGCCCTGGACTCTGGACAAAAACAAACTGTAGGACAGTTAAGCTCAGACTTTTTATAAATATTAATAGCAATAGTATTGCACATAGTCGTGTCAAAATAATGATAAGGAAAAGTATCTGCTTCTCCACGGATAAGTATTGGGGTCAACATCACATTCAATCAAAACTAAAGCATAATTATTATTAATTCTATACTCTTTTCAAAAACAAATCAGATTTATAAGTTAATGCATTTGATATTTCTAGAAAACACCTTGAACCAATTAAAAAGGTCTAAACCACAAGTACAAGTTAATAAAATAACATCTGCTAAATCTGGTACGTCTGGATTCCAGCTGTTTTTCCTCACTCTGGATTCTATTCTACCAGAGTAGCACGACTACACTATGCTACAACTACAGAAAGAATAAATTGTTAAAATTGCCTTGGCATTATTCAATTGATAATAAAGACTTTTAAAAAAATGTACAAACCTTGCAACTTGCAGAAGAGTGTCGATCTCAAAAAAAGGTTTGGTGCACAGTTCAGCGGACACTATGCACACAAAACTCTGCCTAGAAACGTAGATGTATTGAAAGTGGAAGTGAATATTGTTGATGCCAGAAATGCTTCTTAGTTAGTCCCAGTGAACTGGACGCCATTCAATTCGTTTGACCATTCCATAAAATTATTGGCCGAGATCTATAACAAATTACAAACGCAAAAACAAACGGTTGTGGATAAAGACAAAAAGCATATTTAGTTGAGCTATTTCCGCATGGAGAAAGGAGGAGAGGGGGGG